TTTTCCAACTCTAATAATCGTTTATGAGAGACCATAAAACTTTTCTCCATGTCCAACTCTTCGCTGACCAATAAAACCTATATCTTTGCTAGACTCAAGATAAAAATGCTACTTTAATAAGTTTATGCTTCACACTGAGCTCGTTTCACTCACATGTGCACATGCTGCTTTTACAAGTCTACAGCCCAACAGTCTACTCTCCAAATTCTGTTCTCACACACACACACACACACACACACACACACACACACACAAAATATGATTTTAACAGGTCTTCCGCCTCTCGTCTATTCCACTCCCCCAAGTCTATTTGCAAGGTGACTCCAATAAATTAAGTTTTGCAACCCCTTTTAATATAAAAAACTCAAAGCATACCAGATGCTCCCACAAACCTCATCCCTGTCGATTTGACATACATTTACAGCCACTCAAAAAGCACACAGCCTGCCAGTGAAGCAGTCAGTAACCTTCCTCCAAATTTCTGATCAAGCCTTAATACATGGGCTGGAGTGAAGGATGTGGCTGGCAGTCAGGAACAGGCTGTGAACGTGTGTGTGTGAGTGTGAGCAAGTGTGTGTCTGCATGTCTCAGGTGCTGTCCTCTACCAGCACAAGAATACCTTGATAATGTCTTTTGATTTACCACAACAAGGTCAACAATGAGTAAAATAACCACTGAGGAGACATGTCTCAAAGTGAAGGAAAGGGAAAAATTAAGTGTACTGTGGGAGGAGGATGGTGGTAAATGTGGGTGATACAGCAAAAAGTATAACATCTTGCTAACTGAAGGCATGTTTTAGGAACCTAACAAACTAAATAAAACTAAACTAATTTCAATGTACAATGCTTTTGAAACACAGCTTATATGGACACAAATTTAAACATGTGAACACAAATTTAGATGTAGTTAAATGTGTGTTTAACCCCTTAAATCCAAGGCTTATTACATACTAAGGCTTATTATCCAGTAACTCCAGGGACTTCAATGCAAACTGTCTGAGGTATACTTAGGTTATGTAAGTGTGTAATAAGAGAGGCCCTTACCATTTAAGGGGTTAAAAGATTCAGGCCAACAGAAATCTGAGGTATAATCTGGTAGCATTGTTGAAAACTGTCAGAATGTAGGCTACATTTCTTGGCTGTATTCGAGGGATCCTTCAGACTGGAACAGCCTTTGATGACGTAACAGTTTAAAAGCAGAGTGGATGCCTAGACCGCAACCTAGCTTTTGGAACGGAGCTCCTGTTATGTCACCCTGCTGTACCCCTGACCTGTCCCTCAGTCTCCTCCCTTACCAATTATGTTGAGTTGGCCAACTATGTCAGGTTAGTGCTGGTGTATATGTAGCCCCAGTGTTTCTTTGTCTCTTTGTCAGGTCTTGTGTTTTGCTGTTCATGTGTTTGCTATCTTGTTTCTGCAATCACAGCTTATCCTTTGAGTTTGCTTTCTGTCTCTTTGTTAGCTCCTAGCCTTGTGCTACTGCCTTATTTAATTTGTTCAGTTTCAGTTTAGTTCTGCTTTTGTTCTCTCTTTTGTTTGTTGTGCCCTACTGCAAGCTCTCGGTGGTTTGGATTTGTTTCATTAAAAAGCTCACACATCCACCTGCCTCCAACAGAAAAAAGTATAGATTACCTGTAATCTATGAAAAAAATTTTGCTCTTGCCTCAATTTGAATATATGTCTTTCAAAAGACAAGTGACCTGAAATTAAATAGGATTAATCAGACTACATGAATTAGAAATATTTTGGATTAGGTTACAGATTATATTTTTATTTTATAGTCAGTAATCTGCACTGGAGTGTGCCATTCAGAATGGCTTCATACTGAGTGAGTATTTCCAAAAAACAGGCTTTACTGCCTTTGCTGGTTATAATTTATCTCATAATAAATTGCCACTGGGGGTGGCATCATCAGAATACTACGAGTATTAGGCTGTGCACAACATCATAAAGTACACAAAACAATAACCGCATTGACTGGTATAGGTGTTTTACTCAGAAAACTGCTTGCTTATCTTTACAAAGCACACTAGTTAATAACATTCACTCTGTACTCACTTTTTACAAGATGTTAACAAGCACTTTAACTATAACATAATGCCAAAACAACTGCATGCTCTCATCCCTATGACCACTTTGTGAATTTGGTGTTTACCGTTTAAACTCCTGTACGTTGGTCTACACTTCAGTTCATCACTCTCCTAACTACTGCATGTAACATTAGTTTGATCTTGGTTAGATAATAATTCATAATGGTTAATGCATAATTTGGTAACACTTTATTTGGAGTGGTCCTTTGTAAATGATTGATAAATTTAGTAAACAGATTATCAGTAACACATTAACAATATATCAATGAAGTATCAGTAGTGCAACATCTGAATACACTTAGTTAAATATCTTGTAGATGTTCTGTTGATACATTACTTACATTAAGTAGATGTACTGTTAATATGTTGCTGAATATTTCACAAGTCACTGTATAATTTACAGTAGTTACTGAATAATTCAAAGCATGAGTGTATAATTTACAGTAGCCACTGAAAAATTCATAGTAGTTACTGAACAATTTGTAGTGGTCAACAAAAAACTATAGTAGTTACTAAATAATTCATAGCAGTTGTTGTTTATAGTAGTTACTGAATAAGACAATGTATTTACCAGATAATAAGGAACAATAACTGAATAATTAGCTCTCAGTTTATAATGGTTAACATATACCTGCCACAAACATTTAAATAAACAAGCATCTGAGTACTAACATATTATATTGATGACAGCAGTAGAAACTGTCACTATTTTACTGCTTTTTATATGGAAAAAAAAGAAAAGCAAAATTACTTTTACCCCTTTTAACTTCTTTTTTGTTCTCCTTGACTTTACAGAAAAAGAATATGGGCAATTAACCCCTATTTAACATCTTTTACCTTTTTCTTTAAATAACTGAATCTTTTTTCCTGTACAAAAATGATTCAAATGACTCTGAAGCCTTGCTCTCTGACTGTGGTTTAAAATGTGTAGTCAGAAGAACCTGCAGTAAGCAGCTTTCAGGTCTACCTACTACATCCCCTCTGGAAGACCTGGCAAATCCCACTGAAGGCTGAGGCAAAGGCCGGGATTCTGCAGAACAAGAAGTCCAGTATAGGCTGTGAATTCTGTGGTAGGTTTTTCTCTGTAAGTAAATGGCTGCTCAGATTTTCTGTGAAGTTGAGCCGTTAACAGCTGCCTGACCGCTCAAATGAAATTATGTAATTATGCTGAATGTGAGCTTCTGTCTGTACTGGGTAACACTAGATATTACCAAGAGAACATTTTAAGTGAGTGAGTGAAAAGAACAAAATAAGAAAGAAGAGAAAGAAAGAAATATGAGAGTTCACTCCCATTTAAAATTCACTCTTGCTCTGTTTGCTCTCTGTTCGCCTGTGATAAGTTGTCTTATTTCTAAGCTCTGAAGTTTTTGGCTATGAGTAATTTAGGTTTTCTGTTTGTTGTTTCCGCCTTCTCTTTTCATACACATCAACACTGGACTTTGGCTTAATTTCTCTACTGATGACTCCAGGAGCACGAGTCGCTTGTGGATTGTTCTCAGTTTATCTAACTGAAGCAACAGCTTACTACTGAATCCACCTATCAATGCGTGTCAAAAACAAATTGCTAACCTAAAACCCACAGGACAAAACTCTAGTGCATAGAAAGTGCATGCCAGTCACATTAAAAGAACACAAGATAATTTCCAAGGTACATCAGGCAATGTAGCTTTATAACGCTGCTCTTTTACTTTGCAGATGACCTGTATTCTGTATAAAACTGTTCATTATGGTTGCAATTAAAAGTTAAAGTGTTACTTCAAGCCTCTTGAAAAAAGCAAATTAAAGCCTTATAACCTTGTTAATGTTGTTTTTGCCACAGGAGCTACAAGCACAACTGAAACAATATCGGTCTGAGACATTGTTGCCTGGTGACTTTCATATTTCTTCAAGCTAAAGCAGATCAGTAACAGCTGTCAATCATTCAGTTTCACCTTTAGCACACAACAGTCAAAAGGAGTAAGTCTTAAAAGTCAATCTGAAACTAAATGGACCTTTTGTTAATTCATGTCTTTGGATATATTAAGCGTTATTCATAAGAGACAAAATTCTTGTTTTCTCATCATATTTGAAGGAAGTGTAGTGTCCTTTGCTTTTTGCTATAATCACAAATCAGAATCACCAATCATTTGGCAAAAATGTTTAGTTAGCTCAGAGACCCTCTCTGATAGCACACTTCAATCAGAAATATGCCAGTACAGAGAGAAAGCATGTTATGATCTCCAATTCATGGTGACATTAACTGATTATGGCTGTGACAAAGAATAGATAGATAGATAGATAGATAGATAGATAGAACAATGCAAAGCTAAAACATCAATACAGAGCAATACAATTTTAAAGCAGCATGAATATAAAAATCTAAATACAAAAATAACAATATAAAACAAACAAATGCAGAACCTGAACAATAAATAACTAAAAGAGTGGGTGCAGGTGTGCAAGCAACAAAAAGGGAGAGAGAGGGAGAGAGAAAGAGCGAACAAGAGAGAGAGAGAGAGAGAGAGAAAGACAGAGAAAGAGAGAGAGAGAAAAGAGAGATTTTCTCTGGAATTTTTCCAGACACAGCGAGACTTAGGCGATGTTGATTTACAAACAAACAGGCCATAATTGCAGACACTTAGAAGTTGTTTTGTGGGAGTGTGATTTTAATCTGCGAGGTTCTGCCTGGTACAATGCCAAACTGCTTATTACAATAGGATGGGAGCGACTGATTAAGTGTGTGTATGTGTGTGCGTGTATGTGCACTCATAGGTGTTTGTGTGTGTAAACAGTGCAATCATTGTTGCCTGTGTCAACAGAGGCAGCACAACATCTGATTTGACATCAGTGCCAAGAACATGACCTTCAGCAGTGCAGTGTGATCTTTTAAAAGGCACGATCAAGAAAAGATAGAAAATATGAGTCCACTTACCCACTTGGGATGAGTCACCTAGACACAGAGGGAGACAGAGAGAAAGAGAGAGAGATAAAGATTGATTAGACTTTCAGATAGAGATGTTCATTTTTGCAGCCTGCATGTCGTCACTGTCATATCAAAACTTCATACCATTTCATTTCTTATTTCTATGTTTGACTTTTTATATATTAAAACATTATGTGCCCTTTACATTGTGTGAACATTTCATGATGAATGGATCAATAGAAATGATCTAAAATTAAAAGTCATGTTAGGTTAATGTACACCATAGATCCCCCCTTCTCCTATAAACCTTCCACTCCACAGATATAAGGTTTTGTTACCACAGCGACAATATATTCTTTACATGAGAAACACCTTCTAAACCACAAACAGAGCAAAACCACAACAGCAGTTTAGCTCAGATCATTTTACCCTGCTGAGATGCTACCCCGGGTCAAACGTAACACATTTTCTATCTTTGTTTTCTTTTCCATCTCTCATAACTACACAGTCTCATTTCTGCTGTTAACCAACTTATTGTGACCTTTCATTCGTCCAGTGTTTATGAGAAACTAATATAATGTAGTAGCACTTGGAAAAAACATCACAGACTTATGAAAAAAAACCTGAAAAAGTGCAATCTTAAACATTACAAACAAGTAACAGAAAATTAATAATAACTGACATTATACAGCAACAACAAAGGAGAATCATCTTCAAAACAGCTTATACTTTGAATGTCACCCATCCGTGCAATTCTCTCTTATTAAAGTGATATTTCAGCACAATTCAAAATTCCAGAAGTTAGCACAGTGCTGCACTGGTAGCTCTACACCTCCATAACTCCTTGTAGTTCCAGTAAGTCTTGGCTGATCTTTGGGGTAATGTGCAAACTGTTGAGTTGTGGCCAAACCATCATTTTAATATCTGCGATGACTGACTATACAACCAACATGTTTTGAACATTTCAGGCTTAAAAGCTCATCAAAACAAGCTGTGTTCCTCCCACCTACATTAAAATACATGCATACATATATTTCCTGAAGGGTTCAAGTGTGGGCATAGGTGTGGGTAGTGTGTAAGTTGCTGGCTGGTCCGCAAACTGATGATAAGCTAAGATAAATCCTTAGGTTTTTACACCACAAACTCTCTACTTAACACTTTTAGTGCTGCATACCAAAGCAGTGTCGTTTAAAAGCATAATTATCTTAAGAGGTGTTAAAGGTGTGTTTATCTGTCATGACTGATTGTAAGTTGTAGTCTCACAGTGGGACTTTTGTACTAAATCAGATTGTGTGGGCAGAGTGAAGATGATCTCACACACACACATACACACTCACACACCAGAGCAGATGGATAGCAGTAGAGGCTCTTGTCTGCTGTGCCCACTGACTGTCTTTAAAAGAACGCTTGAACATCAAGAGCATCAAGTTTGGACACCTCTCTGGAGCTTATTGTGTGTGTATGTGTGGGTCTCATATACTGTTTGTTAATTGTTAGCCTATGAAATATGCAGGCAGTCGTTCGCAAAAGTTTGAACCCTCTTGTTCAAATTGCATGCTTTATTGATCTTCCAAGTGAAAATAAGTTAACGCAACCTCCAAAGAGAACACACTTAAATATGAAATTTTGTCAGCACATTTTAGTGCACACTTTATTTGCTAAGTTTGCTAAGTTGCTAAAACATATTAAAAAAACTAAAAAATATAAAATGTGCCATAACTTTTGCACAGACCACATTTTATTTTTCCCCCCGATTTGTCAAGTTTAGTAAATAAACAATAATTGTGCATAAAAATATGCAGTTAACTTTATTTCACCTAGAAAATCAACAAAACATGTAATATTACCGGGGCACTCGAACATTTGCACATGACTTTATACGCAAAATGAAAATGAGTACTCTAGCCAATCACAAGCCCCTTTCATACATGCAGTGTCATCTGGGGATTTAATGGCAATTAAACAGGAAGGGATTATGGGTAAAAGCAAGCCAGTGTCAAACTCCCGGTACAGTTGACACAGCGAATTACCTGCACGAGACCTAGAACAATACCTAGAAAATTACCAGGAGGGCTCATGTGTGAACAGAAACCAGTACTTTACTGGGAATTACAAAGACATCTAAGTTACAGCGGGCAAAGTTGAATGTTGCTGTGATGGTTTTGTTTTTACAGTTGAGTTTTTACTTTTGCAAGTGAAAACATTACAGGAGTGTATATTCTACATGACTCGTGACAGAAGTGGCAAAAATGTTCACTGCTTCTTTGCAAAAGTGATGCAGCATGGCTACAAAGCAAACTTTCATTTTTACAGTCTTTACAAACTTTTTTTTTACCAGAGACGAACGTTGAGGGAGTATACTTTCGTATATCGCTGTTGTCGGTGTTGTGTTTTTCAGTTTTTCACATAATTTGAAAATACCTGTTGCCCTTTACGTTGTGTGTAAATTTCATGAAGAATGGACCAAAAGAAACAGCCCAACATGGTTCCATTGACTTACATTAGAAGAATATGTTTTTTCTTTCTCCTGTAAAGTTACCATTTTGGATATGGTTTTGTTCCGACAACAGCAATATGATTCAGAAATTAAGAACCTGTTAGTTATTCATGCTGAGAATGTCACCTCCTGTTTACTGGGATTTCCATGCATGAATGAGCATGTGCATCACAGTAAATTGCTGTTTAAGGGCTGCATGTGTGAATGACACACAAAATTAGTAAACGTCTGAACAAAACTAGTAAAAGTATCTTAACAAGTCAATGTGAAAGAGGCCAAAGTGTTTTTCCTGTGAGCAACCTGACCAATTCCAGAAAAGTGTCTTTGTGGGTGTTTTGCTAAATTGACACTCATATAATCCAATAAAAGATTTTTGGTCAAAATCATGCAAGCTAATCTTTAATCTTTACTGATCTTTACTGAATTACTGATTTACCCATGTGATTTTAATATACTCCAACATGTGTTGCAATTGCAATATGTAGTAATATAATCACAATACTATAGTGTACAACACAGTATACACCACAAATGAGCTTCAGAATACTTGTCACAGCATCCACAAATGCAAGTTAAGACTGTACTATGCACAGTGGAGGTCAACAGCATCCAGAAGAAATGCTTCTGACTTCTCTGGGCTCAAGCTTGTCTGAAATGGGCTGATGTACAGAGGAAATGTGCATGTGGTCTGAGGAGTCAACATTTCAGATTGTTCATGGAAATAATAGATGTTGTGATCTCTGGGCCAAAGAAAACTAGGATTATCCAGATTGGTACCTGCCTAAAGTTCAAAAGTAAGTGTCTGTCATGGTATGGGGGTTACTTGTAGGTAACTTGCACATCTTTAAAAGCACCATCATTGCTGAACACATTTTGGAGAAACATATACTGCCTTCTAGATGCTGTCTTTGTCAGGTATTCGTGCTTATTTCAATAAAATCAATCCATGCTACATTCTGTGTAATCAGAGTGTTCAGGTGCTATACTGGTCTGCCTGCAGTCCAGAACTGTCTTCCATTGAAAATGTGTTGAAAATGTGTCTTGTTAAGCTCAAAATGCCCGAAATATGGCTGTGCAGCTGAAGACTTGTAACAGACGAATGGCAAATGAATTCCACTTTCAAAACTGGATAAGATCGTGTCTTCATTCCTAAACCATTATGAAGTGTTGTTAAAAGGAAAGATGATACAGTGGTGAACATGCTCCTGTCCCAGTTTTTTTTTTTTTCAGCCATCAAATTTACAATGAGCGTACAAATAAATGTACTAATCACTGCTTTCTGGTTGTTTTCTTTTTAGCATTTCACACACTATCCCAACTTTATACACAACCTCATTCATTGAACTTAACAAGGTCCCTCAAGTGCTACAAATATTTTGGAGTATTCTGGCATAATGCATGCAGTGTATTCATCTCTAAGCAGTACAGTGACTCTGAATGCTCCAAACATTAAAAACTGAGCAGAAGTTACTTTTTAAATGATATGGCAAAGTAGAAGCACAAGGGCACAGAGTTCTTTGCTAGACAAAAGCTTGAGAAGCAAAATCTTTTAGACAAAGAAATCAATGAAAAGGAGTGAAAAAGGAAATTCTACTAAAAGGAAAAAAGACACAAAATGTAATAGGGCCAAAAGGAAATCAGTGAATTCATGCTGAAACTAATGGTTATTTCAATACATGATCATAAATGTTAATTAATTAAAAACTAGGCTATTAACTAATTAACATAGTAACTGTTCTTCATTTAATCAGCTAATCTAGCTATTATGCAAACTTGGTTTCCTCTCACTTTGTTCTTGTTACAGAACCTCTATTATTCAAAGTTCTGTTAATGCGACAGTTTCTTCTTTCATGGTGCCAAAAGTTTCTGTAGTGTACTGCAATTGACTGTGCATTTCATTTGAACATTACAGAGTAGTTGTCACTAATCCTGTTCCTGAGGATTGATCTTCCTGTAGAGTCTAATTCCAGATTCTCTACCACACCTGCTCCAGTTAATTAACATCATCAGATGGCCTTGATTGGCTGACTCAGATTCATTAGTGTTGGGGCAGCATGTTAGATGCCAGTTGGAACTAAACAGTAAGTATTTAGAGCTTATAGAGCATTATAGAGCATTATAGAGCATAATAAGATATTTCTCAAAGTGAACATTGCAGCTGAGAAGTGACCTTAATAGCAGTGTTATATTCTTTTCAGTGCTCAGACAGTTTCGAGATGGCGTAAGTAGGCTAAGTAGACTGATGTAAGCAATGTGATGTTTAAATATTACTATATACATTTCATAGCAGTTTGTTACAAATCCTGGTGCTGTAGCATCTCGACCACTTGCAGCTGTTCCCGCCATTTTTCAAACTGTTCTGAGCAGCACGTGAAGGATTGTGCATGACTGAAGATCTATAAGGATACAACAGTTGGGTCTCAGAAATAAAGATTGCATTTTCTTGTCTGTATTCGAAGGATCCTACAAAATGTGACATCCTTCAGTGGCATAATGACTTTCTCTCTCTCCTTCTCTCAGAGCAGAGAAG